GCGGGGTACCACGGACATTTTATTTGTATCTGGGTCAGACACACCCCTTTCTCTCTCTCTCTCCCGCACACCCCAGCACTCCCTGTGAGAGTTGTAGCGATACAGCACAGAGAGAGGCAGAAGCACGCTGCAGTTGAGAGGCTGAGACCGGAACGCACGCACACACACAGACACAGACGCACTCCCTGTGCAAGTTGTAGTGATACAGCACAGAGAGAGGCAGAAGCACACTGCGTTTGAGAGGCTGAGACCGGAACGCGCACACGCCCAGATCTCAGCGCCACTCACCCATGGTCTGGCAGGTAGTGGACGAAGGTAGAGCCCACCACGATGGCCAGGGAGATCCCGAAGAAAAAGGCCAGCCTCATGTTCCACACGTCCACCACGGGGTCGGAGCTGAAGCCATGGTAGTCAGGGTTCTGCAGGAGAAGTGGGGGGGGGGAAAGGAAACACAGAGACAGAGTGAGAGACAATATCCCACGCTCCCCACAAACACCTGTCAGTGAGGGCACCGTGTGGGGAGCAGCTCTGCTGCAACGTGGACCCTAAATGGAGTGCACAAAGTGGCCCATCAGCCCATCATGTCTATGTTGGCCCTCTGAACAGCATTCTGGGCCCAACACCACAAACAGCCACCCCAACCCCCCACTCCCACCTTTCTCCCCCACTCTCACCTCTGTAACCCCCTATTTCACACGGCCAACCTCACCTTAACCCGCACATCGCTGGGCACTACGGGGCAATTTAGCACAGCCAAGCCACCCTAACCCGCACATCCCTGGGCACTACGGGACAGCTTAGCACGGTTATTTCTCTCACTCACCCTGGCCATAGAAGTTTGTGAGGAGAAATGAAAGTTGTTCAGGATGATTTTAGTTCTCTTGTTTTGGGAGATTTTCCTCACTAACTTGCTCACACAGGTTTCTGAGATGATTTTTTTTTAAAAAAAAGGATAGTTTTAAATGTTGAGAGTGATTTAAGCTTATTTCCTTCTAACCCACTCATGCAGGTTTGAGGTGATTTTAAAGATGATTTTAGCATTTTTTTTTAAAAGGGTGATTTTAGCTGTTTACAGCCTATTAACAGCTAAAATCATGGTAAAAACTGCTGAAAATCAACCTTTAAACAGCTAAAGTCAGGCTGACTTTAGCTGTTTACAGGTTATTTTAGCTGTTTACCAGATGATTTTATTGGTTTTTAGCATGATTTTACTGTTTAAATCTGATTTTATTGGGTGATTTCACCAGTTTAAAGATGATTTTACTGGTTTTAGCGTGATTTCAACGGTTTAAATATGATTCTATTGGTTTTTGGGGTGATTTCAATTATTTAAAGATGATTTTATTGGTTTTGTTGGGTGATTTCAGCTGTTTTAGCACGATTTTAGCTGTTTAAATCTGATTTTATTGGTTTTTATATTGATTTTAGCTGTTTAAATCTGATTTTATTGGTTTTTAAGGGTGATTTCAGCTGTTTAAAGATGATTTTATTGGTTTTTAAACATGATTTTAGCTGTTTAAAGGTGATT